CTAAGGGACTGCAGGGTGGAATCTTAGACTGGTTACTTCCCATTATCCAACTACCGGACGGCGACCGCCGCTCAGACTCAGAACCAAACTGATTAAAGGGAGTTCACGGGGCTGAAAGCCCGATCTCACTCGCCTAGGGCATCTACACGGTCGGAACTTTTAAAGCCGTCTCTTTTTTAACCTGTCCAAAATATGGAAAGAAGTACTCACCAGTCCGTTGAAACCTCCCTCGCCCCACCTGATTAAGTTGGTCCTACGAGTGTTGTGCCGTTGTGCCCCTCCCTGACTCCATCAGGCAACCAGGAGACGGTCAGACCTCCGACGAATAAGGTTGGTGGTGCCTGGCCCTCGCGCCGTCCACAGTTGTTGCCGGAGCTGAAGAGGTGGACCGGGCAAGGCAGTCAGCTAGAGTCCCTTCGTGGTCGCCAGAAATTGTTGTCCCCAAAGGACAGTGAGTTCATGCCCAGTGCGCTTGTTCCAATAAACACACAGGGGTGAAGGATCCAACTTAAACTTTATTTCTGCACAGAAAGTGGTGCTTGGCAATCGTTTGCAAAGTGAGCACCCCCACCCCAGTGGGCATCTGCCTTATATAGCTACGTAACAGGTTAAACTTGCTGATGTGATGAAATGTATAGCAAGCCCAGCAAGTAACCCCCTGCCTCCAGCTCCCCCCCCAAATAACCCCCCTTCCAGCTCCGGAACTTTGTTGATACAGCTTTTTCTTTTAGCGAGGCCAGAAATCAGCAACTATGCAACAAGCAATCTCCCGCAGCCTAAACAACCTACTCTATGCCCTTGGTTAGATAAAATACTTTTAAAAAACATATAAAGCTGTTCCCTGGTTAAAATGCAGTGAAAGTCCAGGGGTGCTTCATCAGCCTGAGCCCCCAAAGTCCTAGATGTAGCAAAGAAGTCAGGTCCCTTTAAAACATAACAGCCTCTTTTTGGTCCACAATACAGGCTAAGTCCTTCTTCCCCAAAGCCTAAAAAGCCTGAGTTAGGAAAAACAACCCTGGCTTTTCTCTCTCTCAAAAGTTCTCAGGCTTCTCTCCTCTAGCATCTCTCTCTTTCACCTGTGTATCTATTTTTAAGACAATCTCTGTGTCACGACGGGGTCCTGTAGGAGGGCTCTATGTGCCCATACTAGGGCTTCCCAATAGTGCCCCCTCTCTGGGGCTCACCACGCCCGCCCTGGGGCTTCTCAAACGCCCGTCTCTGGGGCTGGGGTCTAAGCACCCCATAAGCTGCGTCCTTAGTGGTGCTGGGACCCCCACGCTGCTGTGGGTCCCCTATGAGGATGCTGCGCCCTCACTGGCGCTGGGGTCCTCACACTCCCTGAGTCCCCTATGAGGACTCCTCCAACCACTTATAGCTTCACCCAAACCACCGGTATAACATCAAAACCAAACAGAAACTCGAGCCTCTTGGCTATAACCTAAACATAAGCCACCTGGCTATAATAACATTGCTCGACCTCTTAGCGCTGCCACCCTTTACTGCGCTAGAGCGGTACCTGCGGTCAGGCTTCCCCTCGCATCATTGCTCCAGGAGCTCATGCCTCTCTGGCTGCTGGCAGGGAACTGCCAGCCTGGCCTCAGCCCCTGGGCATTATAAGAGCCAGGCCTTGCCCCTTACAGCCAGCTGACCGCTGGCAAGTGTGGGTTATTTGCTGACTCCCGTTGCCCTGGCAACCAACAGCTGGGCTCCTTATGCACTACCCGAGCTTTTCCTCTAGCAGTTTTTCCTCTCTAGGAGCAGGGCACCTCGGTGCTCTGTGACACTCTGCTTTAAAGTCCCACCTTGGTACCAGAAACAGCAGAGTTTCCTCAGGTCCTGAGGCTGGAGTTAACTTGGTGTTATGGTGGGTCTTCATATGCAAAATGGCCCTTCGTTCTCTTAATAGCCCACTGGCCACTAATGGAGCACATAGGTTTTCTTCCAAAACAGTTAACCCCTTATTTCCCACGTACAAGCTAACCAGGGAAATGGAGGCATGTAATATTAGTTATGCCATGAACAAATTTAAACCAGAAATGCACCAATTGAACTATTTGTCATGTCCTCATTGTAAGAGGTGAAGCCCTTAAGCCTTCACCCTCTTCCTGTTCCTAAATTAAGCTGTTCTTGCATCTCAGACTAGCTGATGAGACCAGGGGTGGGAGTGAAATCCAGGTTCTGCTTTCATTTGGACTGGTAAGCCACTCAACAGTGCAGACAAAGGCTAAACTCTAAATGGTAACACCTTCCCACAAATTTCCCTCATAATAACCAGAAGGACAAACAAGTTCTCCTACAGTCCTCTGGGAAAGCACAAAGATCTATGAAAAATGCTCCCTAAAAATTCTCATCAGTACAGATGGTTTTAGTTCAATAACAGGAAAAATACTGTGATCCATATATGGCCTTGTAGAGTGGCTGTTCATACCTAGACAATGCTAATTAGATTGCTCTGAATCAAATGCTTATGATTCAGGGAAATTGCACTTTAAACAAATTTAGAGAAATGTAGTCTACACCGATAGATCTGTTCTGTTGTCATGAACTGAGCTCATAGGAAAGTACTTAAACTACAGATCTTATATAACAAGGAAACCATTGCTTCATTTTAAAACCAATCAGGGATACTTCACCTTAGAAGTACAAAGCTGATATTACTTGGAGTTTCAGCTATGTAGACAGGCATTATTGATGCAGGAAGAGAGACAATGAATAATGACCTAGAAGACATGACCTGAACATGAAAACCTTAAAAAATGGATTGTAGGGATATTGAATGGATCAGGGAAATAAAGTGAACTATCAACAAAGACAGAAAAACACCCTACTAAAGTCAATTAATATCTAAGGTGGCCAACCTGTGGTATGGGTACTGCTGCAAGTGGCACAAGCATCCTTGTGTGGGAGACTGGTGGGGGGAGGGGGAAAGGCAATGCAGGGTGCAGACAGAAATGCAGTTCCCTGCTGTAACTGAGAACACTTTGCAGGAAGTGTTCTAAGTTACAACGATCCGCCACAGATGAAAGTTGGTAAAGGGCAGAGGGGAATCTAGATGCTGGCTGGGCTGGCACAGTGGCAGATAGGACAGGAAGCAGAAAGCAAATAAGGCTTGGGGAGGAGACAGAATTGGGGCTTGGGGAGGGTGTAAGCCTAAATTGTGGCACACCTACCAAAAAGGCTGGCCCCTACTAATCTACACGATGAGAGAAAGGAGGAACAGGAAATTAAAACCAGCAGAAACAGAAATTTACTTCACTTAAAATCAGATACTGCATGTGAGTTATACTTTTCTGGCCAGATAAATTATCACGATAAAAACCTGTAAAGAGAAAAAAAATCCCATACAAAAGCTAACCATACTTCCCCCTCCCCCCCAACAACAAAACCAGTAATGGAACAGAGTGCATTCAAATCTCAAAGGCAGCAAAAAAAAAAGAAACTAGCAGACCAATCTAATTGAGGTTTCATGTTTTTGGTTACAAAAATCATTGTCACCTTTAGTCTGCTAATCACATATATTTACATGGTAGACACTCTAGTAAATTATACATATATTTTTCATTGACCTATTTCTGTTCCAGCTCATTAAATTGAGCTGCTTTCTACTTGCTACCCTCTGGCTAGGTGTAATAGTGTCCATGCCTTCTGGCTAGGTGATAATTAAATTCATTGAATAAGCTGCAAGTGGGTGGGAAAGGAACTATTTACACCTATTCCAAGGGGAGTGGCCCAATTAACACTTTGCTTTGGAACTTAGCTTTTAAAATGTTATTAAAACTTAAAATTAATTTTGAACTCTGATATTCTTCCCATGTTCTGGATGATTCATTTCTCCCTTTTGGGAATTATAAACCAACATTTTCAAATACAGGTGTCTAAAACTATGTACCTATTTTCACATTTAATCTCCTAACCACATCTGCATTTTTTAAATGTTAGAAAGCTAGCAAATTTCATCAGTTTCATTTTAAAGGTATGGTAAAGTTTGAATATCTGTCAATTAAGAATTAGAGATAGAGGACCAATGTTGCTAAAAATGTTACTTGCAATTGCTTCTTAAATACATCAGCTTAATTTCATAGATTTCATAGACCTTAGGGGCTAAAAGGGACCTTGTAAGATCATTGAGTCCAGGCCCCCTGCCATAGGCAGGAAGTCTGTGGGGATCAAATGATCCCAGCAAGATAAACGTCCAAATGCCTTTTGGATGAGTCCAAACTGGGTGCTTGCACCACCTCTGGGGGGAGTCTTTTCCAGACACTGGACACTCGGACTGTGAAGAAGTTTTTCCTTATGTTCAGTCTAACTCAGCCTTCTAGAAGTTTG